GGGACAGATATGTGAAGGCGGTGTATTTGTTTATCACCTATGAAGTCCGCAGCAGCGCACGATGGGGCTGGTGGGTCCAGCACCATGACGGGCATCCTGGTGTCTCCAGTGCTGATGTTTACACACTGCACCATGTACACCATTTAGGCTGAGCCGACCTAGGGGAGGGGTAGGACCAGTTCAGATAATAAATATGGTGTTATCCACGATTGGGAATCGAACTCGGGACCCCAGGTTGATGGAGCAGTGCTTAACGCCGTGGTCAAGCCACGGATTAATGGAGTCCCCCGCGTGCCAACGCCACCACCTCTGACAATCTTGGATGCGACAATCCGACCAGCGCCTGCACATGAAAACCAAGGCCATAGCCATTTGTCAACATTGGGGGGGGGGGGGGACCAAATCTTCCAGGGGGTCTGGGGGTCCCAACCCAGAAAAATATCTAAATTTGAAAACTCATTTCCTGCCTAAAAATCTAAAAAAAATTCACTAACACATGGGATGGACTTTTTATTTTATTTTTTACAATAATGTTGATTGCTCTATTTTTACTTTTTTTTACCATTTCTTGTTTCATTGTATGTAATGTTTGAGATTAGGGATTAATAAAGTACAACCATAATCATGTAAAGATACATCTATGGATTGATTTATATGAAGACAAGTCTAGATATTGTGGCTAAGGTTTAGCAAATTGTTGTTTTTATTTACACAGCATAGCAATTATTATTACGTTTCTTTATATACTTATAGCAATATATTGGGGGGGACATTTTGAGCATATTTGAATATTGGGGGGGATGTGGGGATGTGTTCCCCCCCAATATATATTATAATTACAGCCTTAATGAAAAAATCTCAGGACTTCATCTCCTCGCCGGATATTCCCTTGGGTGCGTTCCATTCTGTAGCAGCCACTCAATTATTTGTATCGCCCATCCCAACTCGCCATGATGCGTCCTGCCCAAGCCCACTGATACCAAAAGTATGTCTCTGTGTCGTGGGTCTTTGTGCCTCTGTGTGTCTTTCAATCTCCATTTCTGCGTCTCTCCTCGCATCTTTCAGATCGACTGAAAGGCACAGGGGCCTCAACCTCTGATTTCAATAGGCTCAAATAGGCTTTCAAGAAATGTTTAGGATCAGAGACTTTCAAATCATAAGAGGGGACGTTTCTGGCAATGCCACTCCTTTGTTTGCACGTGATGAAGAAGGGCCATTCCCAAAAAAACACCAACTATCACACATTTCCTTTGAAGGCCACAGTGTTATTGATGAATGTGGTGAGTGGTTGTGTTACGTGTCCAAAAGGAAGTTGAGCGATTTACAATCGTTGTCCTCTCTGCTTCGGAATCATGGCTGCATGTCCTTTGTCTGCATGCAGAATAACCACACTATTTTCCTGCCTCAACCCTTTCATTGCCACTGCCCGATATTCTAAATGCGAGTCAGAATCAGAATATCCATTCATACGGAAGGAATCAGAGGCTCTATAAAGCTCTTTTTCCGCCCCAGTTGGGGCGGATCAGCACTTTACAACAACAAACCATACAAACACAATAGGAGTGCAAAGTATAGGAAAGGTAAGAAAATCACTCAAAAAAGATTAAAATTAAACGATTGTATTTTACCAGGTAAATCCCACTGAGCTATTTACTTCTTTTTCAGAAGCGACCTGGCCACAAATGATAGCACAACAAATTTCCTTATCATGTGGACATTTATAGCATAAACAATATTGTAAATAATATAGACGCATGTTTCTAAATGTGGAGGAACTAGCTCACCTGCTGAACAAACATCACATACAGGCAGCACACCACCAGCCGGTCAAGAGCCCTAGGTCAGACCTAATGAGGGTAAAACCTAAAGTCCATCGAGATGAGCAGAGCAGGGTGGTTGATGGCGTACATCGCACAAATTGCAAGTCGCTACATTGGAGAAACAGGGAGACGACTGGAGGACAAAATCGATGTATAGAGAGGGGACTTTGAAAAGTCAGCAGTTTATCACCGTGTGTTCAATCAAGAACACAACTCTCGCAAAAAAGGTATCTGTGTAAATGATGGAAACCCCCACGCACAGGCAAGAGGAGGCTTCTAGAGGCGTGCTGGCCTACAAGTCAGCTTCGTGTAGACCAAGCGAAGCATGTGACTCGCATCCCACCCCAAGGAAGGTGCCGTAGCCCAGTGTGCTATGACTCCACTCGAAGATTGATAGAGCTTGTCATGGACAGAAGCATAATCTTCAAGCCCCACATAAAACAGATCTATGAACGATCTTGGGCAACTCAGCTGATGTGCTGCGAACTGCCGCCCTTTCGATGATCTGCTCAGTGGCAGAATCACTACGCCCCAGCCTGGTCCAGGAACTCGTACACAAAAAACTGCCAGATTAACAACTAAATAACGTGATGCGCATCGCAACCGGAATACTGAAACCAACACCGATCACCTGCCTCGCTGTTCTGACGACTATGCTGCAACCAAATGTCTGCAGAAACATGCAAACTGCAATGAAGTTTACACTTTTTCTTGCCAACGACATCCACCTACCCATCAAACAAGACCTGAACAGTGTAACTCACTGCCCACTCAGGTCCCGATCCCCCCTCCGGGATCGTTATGTCGCCATCCTAGAATCTCACCCAGATCCGGAAGAACGCTGGCAAACAGAGTGGAACAACGAGGAGGTTCAGAATAAACACCTCATTGGAGACCCAAACATCATGCCTCCTGGCACTGATATTCCTCAAAGACACGGGTGGCGTAAGCATCAACTGCATCATTACATCAACAGGCTGATGTGCACATCTCCTTCCTAAATGTAAAATGAATGTCAAGCCACGCAACCCAAACGATGGACCGTTTAGTCAGCCACTGTAGACTGCACTCCTTAAACATTGGAATAGCAAAACTGCACGAATCCCCTCCTGATGCCCTCCCGTGGCTATTAGACCTCAACATTGCCATTTAGCCACTGCACATATTGCCATAACTAAGAATATTAATAGCACATTACACCCACATAAGTCAAGACATTATGTAAGCTTCTCGGGCTGGAGTACCGAATGGCTCACATAACTGTATAAATTGTGTAGGCCAACATTTGTCCCATTTCTGATTCCCTAAAGTATTTATGAAAGGGGATTGCATAAATGTTTCTCAGAAAGTAAAAGCAGTCAGGGCCATGCTTAATTCCGCCATTACTCATGCCTATACACACATGCTCTCATAAACACAAACAACAAACAACAGCCACCATTCACCACTAAGTGGTGTTGACATTACCATGGTGCATGTGCCAGGCTAGGTGCATTTTGAGGTCACATGTAGTGTTGAAGGCTCACTGACAGCAGGTCACGGGACAGACTCCAGTGTTATGTGTTAACTGACTGAGATGATTGGCAGATACACCACCTGTGCCCACTTGTTGCGTTTTATCCACCTGGTGCTCAGTTCATTGTTGTGAGCATCACTCCTCTGCCCTCCGTTGTCGTTGGAGGGCGACTGGCTGCAACTGCCCAGTAGCGTCCTTCACGAGGCTCCTCCACAGAGGCCGATCTAGACACCGCTGATACCAGTCTTTGACAAATCCACTCAGCTCAACATCCTCTTGTGACACATTCGCCCACATCCTCTTGTGACACATTCGCCCATATCCTCTCTAACCCGTGTTGCACCCGTTTAGTCACCTCTATTTAGCCAAACAAAATCTGCCTGGGTACGCGGTGGCTGGACATGCGGGCTACATACCTATGCCAATGTAGACTCGCTTACCGGAGGAGCTCGCTGATATGTCTAGGTCTTTCAAGGTTCTGTGAAACTCTCCCAAAATTTAGCCTGGTTGAACCCAGGATGAAACAAGGGAGGCTAGCCTGCATGTTTTGAATCTGTGCAGATGTTCCTTTGATCGCATCCAAGTTATTCAAGCATAGAAAAAGGAGGGCATATTTGTGGCCAAGAAGACCAGAATCTTCGTATGGAGAATCAGGCTGAGCAGCTTCAACTGATTCGAAGTGAGACATATGCTCCTCCACTCTCTCCCCAATTGACCCATCATCAATGGGAAGTGGAGGGGGTGGAGTGTTTGTTGACACAAAATACCTATCCAGGTGCCACCTCTTAGTGACATTCTCAAGGTTCAACAGCTGAGACTCCAACTCCTTCTTAAGAGTGGGCAGCAATTACCAGATCATTAGCAAACATAACACCCATGTATTCGTACCAGATGGAAATTCATCTGGTACAGCCATGGGAAGCTTCTTAAACTACATAGTCAAAAAATATGTTAAATAATACAGGAGCCAGAGGACATCCTTGTTACAAAAAGTGAACAGGGAATGACTTCAACTCCCGGCCACGCAAATTTACACCGGCCTGCCCACCGTCGTGAAAGTCTTTAATGATCATAAGCATGCAGGTCATATTCTTGGTATCATAAGCCTTGACCAGGTCCATAAAGCAGATACGTAAGTGCTGAGATGTAATTCCTGTTGAAACTCCTTCCAAAATATGTCGTCGGTGCAGGACCGCCCCATTCTGAAATCACATTGGGGCTCTGCAAGCCTTTCCAGAGCATGCCTGGTAAATATTGAATACTCAATCCATAGTTATCTGCCATTGTTGTACCCACAGATAGGAGTACAATCACAGACAACCCCTGGGGACTATAGCATCTGCGATATGGTCCTCTAAATTACTGCGGATGAGAGGAGTTCTCCTGTCTGTTACAAAATAATCACACAATGTGCCTCCTTCATATCTGTCCCTCCACATAAAAGTATTCGCATAAAATATATTATGGTGATGAGCACTATTGATTACTCGACATGTAACCCAATGTCTGCTTCACCCCTGCAATTCATGACAATGGTGGCTGTGATCGGGCCCGAGTGAGGCTCACCGCGCGAGTCTCGATGGTACGTGTATGCATATTGAACTTCTTTAGCACCGGACATAGCCAACCGTGGAGGAGCGGAATGGTGATTGTGATGGGCTCACCTGCATGTACGCATGGTTGGTGGGCTGGAAGCGCTCACCCACAGGGGATGGACACGGGCCCTCGCAGCGGTACGCGTTGAACCTCTTCGGCTGAATCACCCAGGCATCCCAGCCGATCTGCTCAAAGCTCATGTAGAAGTCCTACCCGGTGGCACCACGGCTCGCCTGATACCGCTGCGGTGGAGAAAGGGAATGCGTCAACACTGCTACATTCCTCACTGTGTCATGGCCCTGTGAATGATTTCAGGTCCAGCTGAAATCAAGCATTGGGTTCACGGAAGAGTTGACAGAAATGTTTCTGAAATACAATTTTTTTAATCTACATACTGTAAAGAAATGCTTTCCAGAGCCACACTGACCAATGACGAAAAGGGCAGCAGTATACTGAAGCGTGATTTATTTCAACATCCGTCGTAAAAGGGAAATAAACAAAACATACTCTGAAGGGCCATGGCCCAACACATCAGCCTCGACTATTACATGTTTTTGTTACCATCATCCTCCACGGTCCATCCACCGCTGGATGAAGGTTTCCCTGCACAGACTGGAGTAGGTGGCACGTAACCATTAGCCGCAGCGAAAGGTTTGGTGGATGTGGTGTGCCGGGTAGAGTAACATTTGTCCCTGTCTCCCCTTGAAGCCCATGTATACGACGACCTCCGTCGGTAGGCCGCACACGGATGCGTGCCACCGCCCAAGACACGTACCTCTGCCCTGCTGGCCCCCGTGCCCTCCCCGCAGTCCGTCCTTGCGCCCGTGCACCGCCGCATTTGCCCCTCCTCCGTGGCCGTTGCGCTTGTGCCGCCGGCTGCTCGATGGCGCCTCGTCGGCGAGGGGACTCCCGCCCCGAGCCGGCGAGCGCCACTCGTCCGAGAAGAGCGGCGCGTGCGGCTTGTGCCCCACGGTGTGGTGCAGCAGCGAGACGCTGCCGCGGCCGCCCTCCGCCTCGTCGAGCCGGGAGAACACCACCATGGTAGCTGGCTCCTCTGCTTGCCTCGACATCCACCTCCTGTGCGGGCGCGCCCCGGCATCCGTGAAGTTGTCGCGTGCTCTAGCCGGCTGTGGCGGGCTCCGACCGGCATCGACTCCACCACCGGCGGCTTCGAGTCCCCTGTGGCCATCGGTGGTGAGAGAAATTCGCTCGGTATCTCCCGGCTCCTCGCCGTTCCTCGCGTGTCCCCCCGCCCAATCGCGGCTGGCCGGGACGGCGAGCAGCAGGTACCTTCTGAGGATGGCCGTCAGGTGCCGGTGATGAAGCCACTTCCTCAGGTCCTCCGTGAAATCGACGATCCTCCACGCGGATGCGGCGGCCACACCGCCACCGCCGCCACCGCCGCCACCGCCGCCACCACCGCAGTGGAACTTGGGGGTGGTGAAGGAGCCGACGAGCTGATCTGCAGGCTCCTCGCCGAACACGGGCGGCGAGGTGTGGTAGATCTCCACCGAGCAGGTGGGCCCGCGCCTGGTCGACTCGTCCTGCGCCCGCGGGGGCGGCCGAAAGCGGATCTCGGCGAACTGGAGTGTCTCGTCACCCGGCACGGAGGAGAGGTCAAAGTTGAGACGCCACCCGCGCGATGTCTCCTGTCGTCCTGGCCAGGGTGGAGACACGCAGGACCGGGGACGGGCCAAGTGGACAGGAGACGTACGCACATGCATCGACAATTTCCCCGAGTAACGAGCAAGCAGCCCATGGGGCTGGTGAGAAAGCGATGACATCGCCATAATATCAACGACGCAACTCAGCACAGCACCGTGAATACATTGCTAAAAATTCCTTGATTTAGCAAAGCAATCATCAGCGTCGTTGTGGAGAATATTACTCCCAACGTAAATTAGGGGGCAATGTCTCTTTAATATATTTCTCCGCATAAAGAATACGTGTTTGTTTAACAACCCTTTAATAAATCACATTGTATCATTATACTCCCAACACAATAATGCATCCATAGATCCTATACTGTATTAAATAAATACCTTGAATCACAGACGCATTAGCATTCTATCGCAATGCACGTGCATAAATTGTTCACAAAGTTCATGAACAAGACAAGAGGACAGCGCACGGCTTCTCTAGCGACGCTCCCAAGGGCCTCGCCCGTTGCGGAGATGGAGCAGTGACGTCAGCTCATACGTTAGCCTTCATCCAGCAGCGGATAGATCAAGTCTGACGACGACGATTGTATGCAAATGTCTATTCAAGGAAGCGCGCTGCACGCCTGGGGGGGCACCCCCTCGGGGAGTGCGCGTCGTGGATCCGTCACGTCGCTGCTTCTTCCCAGGCACGCACGACACGGGGCGTGTGTGAGGTTACGGGGTGGCGGCGGTGGAAGGAAGGAAGGGGGAGGGGGGGTGGTGGCGAGTCGCGTCCAGGTGACAGCTCGTAGGTGTGCAGGGGCGTGAGGCATGCCGCCGCAGCAGCACAAAGGGGCCTTCGCGAGAGGAGCCACTCACACACACACGCGCGCACACACAAAATAATGAGGAGGAGAAAGGAGCCGCTGCCCAGGAAGGAGATCTCGCCGTCACGTCGTCACTGGACGGCGCATTTTCGCGACCCCCCTCGCCGACCGAGACAATGGCGAGGAAAAAAATGTCTCGGAACATCCCCACACGCGCGCGCGGCGCGCACCAATACACATCACCGCGACGCCTACAGACCCGGGCGGAGGTGGTTCCCCGCGCAACGGAGCCAGACGCAGGCGTTGGAAGCCGCCCTAATCTCTAGCCACCCCCCACCACCAGCAGCCACGATTCCCCTACTAGTGGGAGGTGGATGGGTAATAGGGGTGGATGGGTAGTAGGGGTGGGTGTGTAGTGGAGGTGGGTAGTGGAGGTGGAGGTGGGTAGTGGGGGTGGAGGTGGGTAGTGGGTGGGTGGGTGTGTAGTGTGGGTGGGTGGGTGGAGGTGGGTAGTGGGGGTGGAGGTGGGTAGTGGGTGGGTGGGTGGGTGTGTAGTGTGGGTGGGTGGGTGGAGGTGGTTAGTGGGGGTGGAGGTGGGTAGTGGGGGTGGGTAGTGGGTGGGTGGGTGCTGGGGGCACTTTCGGCATCACGGCGTCCAAGCACAGGGGCGCTCCCTGCGAGTGGGCGCAGTGGACCAGCGCCTCCGTCTTTAGAAAAACTCCAACTGCTGGCTGGCTACTTGCTCAAACCCTTCGTCAGTCACGCTTGTGGGCCTCGAAAGAAAATCTGTAATAGGCGACGTTTCGGGAAAGTGGCCCCTGCAATATGCACGTGTTTTTTACGGCAATGGCACACGTGCTTTGTGTGATGCATGCGGTGAACTTCTTTTGCGCCGTACGTAGCCAGCCGTGCTGAATCTGAGGTGCGAAATGCTCGCCATGAAGACGCGTTTGGAAGGATGGGCCATTGGTATCAAGCATGTGCTATGATGAAGGGTCATTGCCCGATACGTCGCTTATTATAAATATGTGTTCTGATTTAAGGCAATTGAGGTTAACGAACGCTTTGCTGCTTGCACATTGGCCGCGTTGACTCTGATGACGCGCATTTCACAACTCTGTTTGAGGCCCGATGGTTCCTGTGCACCGCTGTGGCCTTGCTCGCTGTCGCCTTTAAACTCAGAGTGATGTGATCGTCACTCTCTCTCTCTCTCACACACATCTCGCCGAACACTCACATCTTAGATGGCGAGGGTTCGGCGGATGGAATGCCAGGGGTCGAGCGGCGGCACGCTGTTTCGCGCACCGCGACACTCGATTTCGCGGTGCCCGGCCACAGCTCACATCAAATGCGCCCAGAGCGAGTTCAAAGGCGCCCAGAGCGAGGTCAGCTGACGCGGCTGAAGTGTGGCACAACAGCGGCCCACAAACTGACGACCCGTGCGAGGCCTGCATCCAGCAGTGGATTAGCCAGAAGGTGGTGGAGAAACACCTGTGCTCGACCACCGTGTAGGCGAGGCTTGGTGAATCACGCAAACGTGAAACTCATCTGCCGTGTGCGTCGCGGAAGGAGCCATACCCTTGACTCGCCACGGGAAGCCAGTACAACCAACAACTAGACTAACACAGTACGCATGTTGAACTGTTTCCCTTACATTCCGTATTGGATGGTCTTGCTCACTCGCGCGTCGTGGGCTTTCCTCCGGGTGCTCGGCTCTCCTCCCACCGCCCAATTGTCTGAACGCGTCTCCGAGCATGGCTCATTGCGTGACTCACCGCCGCCTGGCTCCTCCAGAGTCTCTCTCTCTCGTCGGGAACGAGCGAATATTGTGTGGGCCGGCGCTTTTCAAATTGAAATGTGTGTACATTGAACATGTTTCGGAGGCGCGCGGGCAGAACAACAAACTAAACACAAGAAAGCAGTTCTCAAGAAGTTCGTTTTCGTTCTAGATTATTTAACAGTGCATCATAGCTCCAGTGGCTTCCTAACATCGGAGGCAAGAGCATTCCAGACGGCCGCAGGATCGCGTCGTCTGAGAGCGCCGCGCGATGCGGTCACCGCCTTTGTTCGATGGCTGAGCCAAAAGCCGCTGTCGTGAGCATGAGCGCAGTTCGCGTGGTGATGGTTTATGATACTTGACGAGATCAGCGAGGTTTTGTGGTTTATTTCTGCAATGATTATATCGACACGAAGCGCTGTAATTTACGAGTATAACATGTTCAGAAGTGTATTATTATTCGAGTAAAAAAACATTGAGCTCAGGAGCTCTTTTAGAACGGTGACTGCCAGAAGACAGACACGGCAGCGACAGTTACTGTGCGTTGAACCTCTTTCGTACCGTACGTTGCCAACCATGCTAATCGGAGGTGCGGGAGGAGGACAACACCGATTGATGATGGAAGGATAATCAGGATGGGACGGCACCGATGGTTAGAGAGTGATGTGTTGATTGCTGCTGCTGTGGTCGAGGTGGTGTTGGTGAACAAATTAATTAATTATAATAATAATTAAATATAGTAATTAAAACAATATGATATTTTTCAAAAAGTACCTACATTCACAATTGCATTGTGTAACTCGTGTGTCGGATTAATAATAAGCGATAGCTTATATACAAACCAATTTTGATGAACTATTAAAAGTTATCAACCGTTTTACTCGTTCTATTCAAATTTCACAAGTTACATACAAAAAGAAGTTTCACAATCGTGAACACAACAACACCATCGTACTGAGGAGAGGGTGTTTTGGGGTGGAGGAGTTGACGGGTGAGGAGATGAGGGAAGGCCACGTCCCGAACCGACGGACAAGACAGCACTGTGATACAATGCACGTGTTGGTAGCACGGAGTGAAACGCGCACACGCTGATACACCGACTACGTGTTCACGTATACACAAGGGTTTTGTTACAGAGGTTGTCATTAGTTTAATCGAACTTACTAGCCGGCTATCCGAGCTACTGTAGTGCTGATAAATACGCGTAGCTCAAACACATTCGCTTTGGTTATTTAAAATGAGATTTTTTTTAAATCTCAAACTATTTTATATTTTAAGTTAAATGTTTATGTTTGACCGCAAAGGGCCCACGATTGAGTGTCCACTACCCCCGTTCAAAACGTCTTTCGCACCGTACGGGGCCGACCGCGCTCATTGGAGTGTGCGACAGACGGACACCAAACCGAAGGCAAGAATCAACCCCATACATTCCTTGCGCTGCTCCCTTGCCCGTGTTGGCTACAGCATGGCAAGAAAGAACGTCAGCATACGACACGACGATATTCATCCATCGCTGCCATCAGCCACAGGCGTCGGTGCGAGAAGCAGCGAGCGCGCTGTGTTGCGTCATTCACTTATTGCACAATAAGTCGCGTGCTAACGTACGGTGTGCACCAAAGACAAAGATCCCCCGTATAGCCTTAACAGACTGTAGGGGCAAGTGCTGTTGGCGAGCACCTATAAAGGCCGGAACGGTACACGAGGGGGTGGGTGGCCAGCACCACAACCGACCGCCTTTGTCTCCCTAGTAGCGATGTTTACACACCGCACCAGGTACTCATTTCAGGCTGAGTCGACCTAGGGGAGGCCCAGGACCGGTTCAGATAATTGTCACTGGTGTTGGCCGTGAGCGGGAATCGAACCCGGGTCGCCAGGGTCATAGCGCAGCGCTCTAACCGCTACACTAGCGCTCCCCACGTACGTTGACACCGTACCGCGTGTTAACGTACGGTGTGCACCACACACACAACACACATGTCCGATAGTCATATGCAGCCGTCGGTAAGTAAGAGATCCCTACTGCTCTACACACATCCGCGCTATGTTCAAAGGGTGTCGCTATGAACGCATCATGCTGCAATAAACACGCACGTCCAAGTTTTTAGCCTTTGCTGAGAGTGTTGGTGAGGAGATGGGGGGGAGGGGTGAGTAGGTGGGGGGGGGGTCGAGTCCACAACCTGGGACTGAGGTCGCACCGAGGTGCCGTGCTCGCCAGTGCAGGGGAGGGAGCGGATGACACCTGCGGGCTCCCGTGCCGAACGTTCCGGTTCGGACATCAAAAGCACGCAGCGCGCCCCCGAGTACGTGCCGTGGCGCTCCGTGTGGGGTGCCACGCGCGTGCTATAGGGAAGCGACCCGTCGCGTTCAGGTCCGTGAGAGTGTTCAGATGAGCGAGAGTGTTCAGGTTGGTGAGAGTGTTCAGGGAGAATGCGGATGCCCCCAATATCCTACTCGACGCCAGTAGCGCGCGTAAACAACATGCCATGTTAGGATTTTGCACCTTTTTTTAAAGGTGCAGCGGCTGAAATGACTTCCTAATATAATATAAATCGATAACGCCGCTGCTGGCGGAAGGGCCCATACGAACGAACGAGGGAGTACTGACAGTCGTTGTTTCCTTCACGCAGTGTGAGGTTTTGCCACCCGGGTGGCAGAGGTGGCAAGCACCTATAATTTACCCCACCACGCAACACTCCGACCAAAATATTGCCCAATGACTAACCTAAATCATCTCCATGCTCAATAAATCACCGTATGTATGTGTGGTCACCCCCACTCTGAATGCCCCTCCCCCCCCCCCCCATCTTATCCCCTTGTGAAAACAGACGCTGCTTCGTTTAGCAGCGTCGGTGGCCTCTTGTAGCCTCTCCCTACCCTCATCGCCCCATGCCCGTTTCTCCTTCCATCTCTTTACCTCCTTTTCCCTTTCCCGTAACATTCTGTACCCCTCGGCTCTACACTCCCCTTTCCGCGGCCTGCCACGGATAACAACGTTGCTGCCAGTCACGCCAACATTAAGTAGTTAAAGAGCATTTAAGGTAAATCGATGGCGCAAGTGGGTTTGCTCTTGGCGATACAAGACAAAAATCACGTTCATGAATCCCGCTAGGCATTTGAGTACGGACATCAAACGCAGTTCATGAAGGAAAACCCCCGAGATGAAGGCGATGAAAGACGCAACTTGCAGTGCTCTTTGAAAAGTAAACTTCAAACGAATGAAAATCCAGTACTTTCCGAAATTTCGATTCAGAAAACAAATATTTATTATCAACTGCAAGAAACATTTAGAAATAAATCACCCGGCAAAATGAGCTCATACGCAATTGCATTCCCTCCTAGGCCCTGGATATGGCATTATCAATTACATAATAACCTCCAGCTTTAAATGTACCCTGCAAAACCCGGAAGGTATTGAACACCGTCACCCACACCAATGCGACTGAGATCGCCAGTCTCAAACCCTGGACCACAACGCGACTTCACCCGCCGTTCTACCAATTGGTGTCTCGATCTATGAGTGCCTATGCGAGGAGCGGTGGTGCCGTGCCAACGCAGTTTCACAAAACGTGTTTGCACCGACTGCCGAGCTTCGGTTGTGGAAATGCGCCGTTGTTTTCTGGTGGATGTGCGCCCTCGAATCGCCCGTGCAGCCACTTACCCTTCGCTGGAATGCTGCGGATTGTGTCCGAATTCCTGGGCAGCGCAGTCTCGGCAGGTGTCACCCCGAGACGCTTGTCCGACCTCAGCTTTCGGTAGAGCTCTAGCATGTATCCTGGGGGGCGCAGAGGGCTGTGGGGGTGCGCATGTCTCGGCGCCGTGCCCCCCACGTTCTCCATTGCCTTCAGCCTCACGCTCGGGTTAGCAAGCAGCCCCATTTGGACCCCCGACATTAACCCCTCGAATTCACCGGCATCCGATCGGCCGGCGATGCAGCACCACAGCAATGTGGCGAGCGATATGATATGTATGGATTGATCATGAGGAAGCATTCTGTGGTGGGGGGGGAGGGTTTCTCGTATGCCTAGCGTGTTGTTACCTAATAGCGCTCCAGCTGGCGAGCCCTAATATATAGTGAGTACCACGCCATCTCATGCATAAACATGAGCCATCCCTTTAATCTTCTCGCCGCCCGCAATCCTGTCTGTGTATTCGGGTCAGCGAGACGGGGGCATTCATTGTCCACGGGTTGTGAACGCTGGTTCCGTTACAGAGGATGCGAAATTTTTTTTTACAGCGGGAGGCGATGAGCAGGAGGTCGCCATTGTATCGTTGCAGACCCGAATATGTAGCTGGACGTGAGGAGATGTAGGGTCAGAAGGGCTCGTACGTGCGTGGCGAGAAAGAGCGTTTTAAAGGTGGGGGTTAGATCCACGCGATGCCTGGTTTGTTTATCGAACCGTTTTGCTCCGTTGAGTCGTGATGAGTAAATATATTTCTATCGGAACGATCGTGATCGGTGTTGTGTCAACGTCGCCACACGTGAACATCTGCCACGAGATCGGCATAGAACCGGCAGCAAAACATGCCATGTGCGGCATCGTCACAAGTCCGCGTAGCACGCAACGTCAGGGCCTGGCGCGCCGTGCTTCGTGGCCCTGTTAACGCCGTCCGCCGAATCTTCGACGGGACGCGTTCAATTGTTCCCGAGAAACTTTCTCTCTCGATGACGCGTCCATCGCGACCGCACGGCGACGTCGACGATTGCCTCGTGTGATTGTGGGCAGAGTGCAGACTCGCGTGCGCGTGGACACATGCTCGCGTATGTTTTGACGAAAAAATTGCGCCGTGTAAGTGCAGGACGTCGAGTTGGAGGAGCGGTGGTGCAACGATTCGCACGCTCTGCGCCTTTAAGCCGGCGATTCCCGGCCAGGGAAGGCAGTGGCGAGCGACCTCTGAACCGGGAATCATCACTCAACGTCCCTCCATACGATTCATTCCACATGAACGTTGCTTGTCTCTTTTTTTTCTTTTATTCCGAGGATGTAATAAAACCTCGAGGAATCGTCTAACCCTCTCGCCATCTCTCCCATCTTCACCCTGCCCCCTTATCTCATCCCCCCCGCCCCCACCTCTTCGCGACCTCATCTCGCACCCCCCCCCCCTCTCGCACTCTCACCCCACCCTCGCTCACCCTAGAACCCCTGCCGTGTCTCACTCTCCTTCCACAGCCGATATACCTCGGGCGTGACGTAATCCCGTCGCGTGCGCTCAAGTAAGCATCCCAGCGCGGTCGCGCGCTGCGTCTGTTACATACACATCGATGTGCCCTACCACTCGCCGCCGTGTACAACACGAGGCTTCTTGGCGGGTCGCTGATATCGTGAAGCATAGTTTCGTTTGAATATAGGCGGCGAAGGTTGGATATAAGGGCAAGTTAAGGGCAGATCAAACTTTGGCGTACTTTGAAGCATTCGCTGGAGTGTTGGAGTGGTTCCCACGTTTGATGTCGTGCTCCCAGACCACAGACTTGCAGGAAAAGAAGAGGCATGGACACTGTGTGTTTTCAAACGTATAGTGGAGTGCTCGCATCAAGGGTCTGGGCGACGAATACCCTACAAGTTAATCAATCAACGCGCCGCTTGAATGTACTGTATTGAAGGCGCAGTCTGCATGCGAATTGTTTGACCATACTTCACCACACTGGGGTGAGTGCGGATTGGTGGAGGGTTCACCAGGGCCGGTTCACATATACATCACCATGCTGTTGGCCGTGGCCGGGAATCGAACTTTGGCAGGCCGGTTTTTAGTTGCGCAGTGCGCCCAACCGCTAAGCCACCGCTCCACTGCCGAGGATTAGGGTCGCCGTTCGCAATCGGTTCGAGTTCGCTGGAGCCCCTTTCAACAATCAAACGCATCGCCGATCATCACAGCGCCTACCAGCTGTTTGAAATTGTACATTTCCTTGATGAAGATATGATGTTTCTTCTCCACGGATCCCCTGTAGTAGTTGCCTCGCGGGCCAAAGGTTGTGAACAACTGGATAAGAGTTTCCGCTAAATTCAAGGTCGTTATTTTGTTGTTGTTTCTGTTTGTCTCCTTTGTATTGTTTTTTTCTTTCGTATTGCTAGGTCCAGTTTGTACTGTCTCGTTCGCTACATCAACCCGTATGTAACATTGGCCTACCGCTTGCCTTTCGTGTACGATTATGCCTCGCTAATAATATTCTTACAAGCACCATTTTACGCAAACCAATGGTACCCTTGCTTGCACCTTCCGTGCACGCAACGCGTTGCAGGCATCTGCCCTCTTCGCCAGCCGATTGGAGGTTAACTGCTGTACCACTGCCCAAGCAACCCTTAATATATTAACACAGCATCGTTTTAGCCCATCATCGGCCTCTTGGCTTCGCAGACCAATATTGTGAAGCAAAATTTGTTTAAGCATGCGAATTCATGGCTGGTTTCGGTTATCCGTGTCTTCAGAATCAGAATATTTATTTATACTGGAGGAATCCGATGAGCTACCAAGCTCTTTTCCAAAGATGTCCAGTAGGGGCAGGTCAGAACGTTATAACAGCAAACAATCCAAAACACACGATAGGAGTTCAAATTATAAAAAAGGTAAACAAATCACTTAAAAAAATACACAAACACAAGTAAACTCTTTTTTTTATCTTACCAAGGTAAAGCCCACTGAGCTGTTAGATTCTTCTTTTCCAATGAGCAGGGTCAGGCTTATAACACACTCGCACTGATTTGGGAGATTTGATGGGCATGAGCACTACGTCTAAACTATGGGACCTCGTTCAACGCAATTCCGCGTACAAGCGGACGCGTCACCGCAGGGAATTATTGGTAACGGGCTGGAACAACAAATTAGGCCGCTGGACTAAAACGAATTTCTTTTTTAGATGTGAAGACACGGAACGAAGTTCCCTTCATGTTTCATTTCACCCACAATGCTCGCGGAGGTCGAATCGGGCCAATGCGCGCACCAATCAGACCGTGGTCCTCCCTCGACTAGCGAATCACACGAGCGACACCGTGCGTCCGCCGAGGGCGTGAAAGCCGCCACCTTTGCCCGGACGCTTAAAGACTTAAACGCTTTTGGAGGGACGCGGCGAAATGGTGGGATTTGGCCGAAGGAAAACATCGCCTCAAATTTAGGGGTTCTCGATTGACAGTGTTTGCTTCATTAGCGCAGTGTGAGGTTGTGCCACCCTGCGTGGCGGTCTAATTCCAGCTTAGCCGTGGAGATCGTTACAGCCCCAATTAGCCACTTAATGCTATTTGTTTCTATCCCAAATTATAAGTAAACACCCTCGTTCGCGTCCCAGAGTTAAACAGCCTGCGTGGGATGTGTGTGTGTGAAGTGTCGGCTTTCTCAAGTGGTTTGTGGGGAGCGGTAGTGTAGCGGTTAGCACGCTGCACCACGAACCCGGCGACCTCTGAGTTCGATTGCCGCTCATGGCCAACACCAGTGCCGATTATTATCTGAACCGGATCTGGGCCTCCACTGGGTCGACTCAATTTCAAATGAGTCCCTGGTGCGGTGTGTAAACATCGCCACTAGAGAGACAAAAGCGTCCGGGCGTGATGCTGGCCATCCACCTCCTTATGTGCCGTGCCGGCCTTCATAGGTGCTACTCACTGACAGAACTTGCCACAACAGCCTGTTAAGGCTAACCGGGGGATCTTTGTCTTTGCATTTCTCATGAGGGCGGAAAGGGGCTCTACGTGATGGTAATACTTTGCGAAATGTGTATAGCAAATCCTCAGCGAGTCTCAAAGCTATTTTAGGGATGTTTTAGCCAATAGCGCTGATGATGTTATTATCGTGACTTTGGTTGTATCAAGGAAAGCCTCAGAGAGTCTCGTCACCCGTTTTCAGGCAGGTCCTGCCATGTTTTAGCAGGAGGGACAGCGATGATTGCGGCGGTCGATCATCGATCTCCAGAAGAAAAAAATGACTGATGCAATATGAAAAATAAGAATAGGTTTTACCCTTTCTGGCAATACAACAGGAGGTGTTAACTATAATACAGGTATTTTTGGGAGGGGTGAGGAGTTAAGATGTCCAAACTCCAATTAGAAACCTTTTGCAAGGAATCAAGTCTGCATTAACCACAGACTTGTGGTGAACATGCAAACAAACATGCTCTGGTAACATCTTAACTGTTTTATTGCCAGAAAGGATAAAACCTATTCTTATTTTTTATACTTTGATACTGGAAAAAAGGTCCCATTTATGTATACAATAATCAAAATGGGTAATTCTTCTACGATAGACCATGACGTCGCGTGATCAACGTCCACTGTGCAGCAGACGGCGCGTACTTGACGGTGATTGCACCCGCAGTAATGACCAGGGCGGCCTGGCTATGTCGAACCGTCACACCTCTGCAACAATCGGCGAACGCGCCACAGACCCTGTACGATGATCACCGGGACCCGGAGAACACGCACGCATACGAGGGCATGACGCTCAAAAAGCTCGTCATCTGCCGCGTCGCCCCCCGACCCAGTGGGGGGTTGGGGGGTTCACAAATCGAGACATGATCCACCAACTCAAACGCCTCAGAATCGTGGATTTCCCGGCACGTGTCATCACCACGTGGCATGCACTGCGACGACTCGGGAACCGATCTGTCCATTTCTCATAATCGTCTACCACTTGTCCATATGGTCACTCGCCGTGTGGAAGTTACTATGTAGGCTTCGATATAAAAAAAAAAGCGTCTGCGTGTTGCTATTGCGCGCACAACACACCACGCCGCCGATTGAGGCCACGCGCAGTGCGTTATAACGACGCGTGCATCTTTGCTTTCATTATTAACACGCATTGATACATTGAACGCGTGTCTGCGTTTATACACACGCGCGCGCGCAGTTGTAAATGCTCACTGGAATTCCCCTGTCACAGACAACGCTCGCGATGCTATCGTGAGCAGCGTGCAGAGCGCGCGCTTTAATAACATTGCAATACACAACCTCCGCATCTGACGCGTGCTGCCGAGCCGGCAGTGATTAATGGGCTAACCACCCCCAACCACCACTCTCCCGTCGTTCCTTACACAAAACGCAATCCACATTGGGGCTGTAATATACACGGCACTATCTTCGTCGTCAGCCATGGTCGATCCACTGCTGGATGAAGGTTTCACCACGCTGCCTCCATCCCAATGCTGCGCTTTGCCGATTTGGGGCGACGAAATACAGTTTGTGATCAATACGCCTTACCTGCGATGACCTCCCTCATTCAGAAACACGGATACAGATTAAGAGGGTGGAACAAAAGCTCACAAGAATACAATGAAGCATGGACAAACGCATACAGTACTTGGAATTACAATGAGACACAAATAACACGTTTATATGACGCTTACTTAGCACTATTCTTGTTTAAGAGGGTCCTGCTAAGTTTGTTTGCAGTAGGGGGACGATTCTTGTTACGTACATTCCATTTCAGTGAATCGCAAGTACATTTTTTCTTTGAAATTTGGTAAATTTGGCACCATGACGCCGGCATACAATGGCCCACTCATACGAACGACGTCGCGGGATCTTTTAACGCCCACCGTGAAGCGGTCGGCGAGATTGTGTACAGTTAATACGCACCGCAGTGATAACCGGGGGGGCCGCTGGATTCGAACCCCTGAAAACCTCTGCGACGAGCGCGCCACGACTCGGGCCAACGTCACAGCCCCAACAAAGAGACGCGGCACGCCACGATCGTAGAACAAACGCAGTGAGGAATTCGGGATTTTAGTGTGGAGGGCCGCTTGCTTCTATGCCACAGGGTATCACATCTCAATCCGTCCAGTTCACAGCTGGTAGTTGTCTGTTTTATGCCAGGGAACCCCCCCCCCCCCTCCAGCTGCCCCCATCCGACACAAGGTGACTCAGCATCGGTGTGCAAGTGGTGAAGTGGTTTGTCAACAGGTTGCAATGGGTTATTACAATAAATTAGTGCATTTTTTTTTAAACGTGGCACTGACGATTCTCTTTTAAATAACGTCACTGAGTCTTTCACGATAATTGTCATGTGTGACGGCGCGTATTTATGGTCGATACATCCGCAGTGTTAAACGGTGCGGCCGGGGAGCTTGGCCTGCAAACCTCCGCAACCAACGCATACTTTTTTGACCGTTAAGAAAAGTAACCTTCTTGGGCAGGCCACTGTTCTTGGCTATAATATGTACAAGGGACGATTGCAAGAATAACTCCTGAGTGGCAGCCAAAAGAGGGAACGCACCCAAGAGGACAACAGCATCGGTGTGCAACATAAAACTAAACTATTTTATTTGATTTTACTAGGTAAGGCCCACACTGAGCTATATAGCTCTTTTTTTAGAAGCGACCTGGGCCATACATTATAGCCGAACTAAGTGGCTTATCACGTGGATATTTCGAGCAGCCAAGTACTGTAAAGACGTGATGTTGATTCGTAATGTGGAGGGAAAAACCGGAGGATACGGAGAAAAATCCACTCGACCACGGGGAGAACATGCAAACTCCAAATATACAGGCGTGAGGGTTGCGCCGAACCCAATTTTGATCAGTTCGATCCCGTCAGGGTCGAGATCGAGCCCAGCATACGAATGCGTCTGAGAGTGAAGAATCTCATTAGCTCTTCTCATTCTGGAAGTAGGGATGAGTCAGGGCCCGTTTTGCTGATATTCTTCTTGCAGGGTCATAGGTCAGCATTTTCTGGAGAATAAAGAGACACACATTTGGCAACAGTTATACCCATGTTTGCTTTTTATACGCAGCCAATGCATTGTTACATATGTAAAGCAAAGCTCACGCACGCATCCGCATGCAAATGCAGCATGTGTTCTAATGAAATAACAATGCAATTCACACTTTGATGCTCGCGACGAATGTTGCAGACTGGGCAGCAGTTATCTACTGTAATTATACAAAATATAAACTGCACACATAACACTGTGGCCTTAAATGGAAAAATACATAACAGGCGACGTTTTGGGCAAAGGTCCTTCTTCATAGCACGTAAATGAAGGGCCATTGCGTGACATGTTGATTACAGCCATACCCAGATTAACGCCATCTCGCTATAACGTACTCAACTTATCGATAACCAACCCTGTTTTACGTTCCGTGGTACCTCGCCATAACGCACTCGAGATTTACAAACTTTACCACTCAGACTCGAATGTTTACGCTGCCGCCGCAACATTCGTGCGCCGAATAGCAACCAAGCATAATCCTCCCGGACTACAGTCGTCACTCTTGCATGCATACTCTCTTAATATTTATTCCCTCGCATACCGTTTTTATGGCGACTATTTTTTATGCAAGTGTAAACTATTTTTTTCATATCATACACAACCAATAATACGCATAACATAATAGACAAGGTAATATATACTGGTTGTAACATTCTTGTAACAACATGGTTGTAATAGTATTGATAAGCAAAGGGTTACTAAGCATCCTCTGTTTAGGTTCTGTACCACGTTACAGAACCCCTATCACATCTCTAGTAGTAGTAGCTACTACTAAGTTCTGTACCACGTTACGATCTACCATTTGATCTCTTTGCTTAGATTTAAATACTTTACATTTACGTTCTGGTTTTCAAGAACGCATCCTGGGTGGAAACTGTACTTATTTTTTCCCTTTAAGACCACAATGGTGTTAAATAATGTGTCAATGTTTTTGTTATTTGTGCTTGTGCACTACTGCCAACGCAGCAGCAGCGGCATGACCAAATAATTTGCAGAAATAATAATAATGACAGTTTAACACGTCGGCTTTCACGACCAATATCCATATTAGAGGTTTTTTGGGTTAGATCACTACTGTAGTTGTAATTACTGGTGAAACGTCGTACGCGAATTGTAAACGTTGTGGGTTTACTCTCCAACACACCGCTGTGCTGTACTAGTAACGAATTGGCATGTTCTGTTTAAGTGACAAACCTTACCGTAATTGGCTGTGTCGGGTGGTGGCAGGTTTAACAACGCATTTATATTTACATGATCCGACCCAAAAAAAACTCTATTATGGATAATAACAATATTGACTTCAAACTTTCGTGACTGCAGAAATTCATATTATTTGGTTCTTTCGGTAAAATCACGTAGATATGAAAATAAAAATAAAGTGAATAAAGAGAAGAATAAAATAGTGTTTTATTATTTTTATCTTTTTTTTATTATTCACTTTATCTTTATTATTATAATCTTTCTATCTACGTGACTTTACCGAAAGAACTAAAGAATATAATACTAATGTAATTTATTCACCCAGGTAAGTCTCACCTTAAGGTGACTCAATTGCCATCCTTATTGCCATGCAGGTAAAAACTATGAACATGCTTTCCACCATGTATGCTTCATGCCAGATATACAATCCAGACAAGCCTCAATGAGTCTCACACTTTTTCAGGAGGGCCCTATGATAAGGTTATTTGGCCAATTCCACCAATAATCGTTTTTTCCAGTGGGTGCAAACCCACAAAGTAGCCGGAGAAAACTCACGAGCACGTGGAGGGTAATGCTCAAACGTCTGCACAGATAGACTCAAGAATCCGTGGCTACACCACCCTCTCCTACGCCACCCCGAGGCTGCGTGAACGGCCGTTACCTCAAGCAGGTCGATGCCGTCCTGGTTGAGGCCGGGGACGTGGGTGGCCAGGCCGCTGGGCGCCCACTTGGGGAAGCTGGGCTTGTAGTCGGGCAGGGTCACCACGTCCGGCCAAACCTCGGTGGTGGGTGTGCCGAGTATCCTACGCACACACGCACGCCAGAGCGTGGCCATTAGCACGCACATCACGGCATACATTGCCACAGCATGCGTCCGAGGGCCTCTCCATGCCGTGAAAATCGTGGGAGTTTTTTTTTAAACCATACAATGCAGGGGGATCGTACAAGTGGGAGCAGAGTGTGGTACAGTAACCGTCCAGGTGGCTCGGCGGTAGAACGCAATTAGAAGGTCATGAGTTCAAATCCTGGTTGGGAATTAATTTAGCCCATCATCCTTTGATGGTCAATAACATGAGTACCATTTCGCGTAGAAGTCAACCGTGGTTGTCCAATGGATAAAGTCGCCACCACCATAAGAATGCGGAATTTCTGACACTGGCTCAAGGCTGTTAAGGAGATTTGAGCAGCGCCTCAATGTTCATAGGAGCAGAACAATCACTTTGGGCTCAGTACAACAATGGATTATCCTGCCTTGTCCATCTCCTGCCCACCACAAAGCCCCGCAGCCTCGTACAAAATACATTCCATGCAGTAGTGGCGCATTGTGGGGGTTATACGACAACAGCGGCAATGGAGGGAACCAAGTGCCTGAATATGCGAAAGAGCTGGTCGATCTCGGAGTCTCCGTGGAAGAGCGGCCGCTTGTTGACCATCTCGGCCAGGATGGTGCCCACACTCCACATGTCCACGGGGGTGCTATACCGCGGTGTGCCGAGTAGCACTTCGGGGGCGCGGTACCACAACGTCACCACCTGCGCGTGCCACGCGGACAACAGGCACAAGCGATGTTACCCGTTAAACACGTTGGCAGGGTTTTTGCAACCAATATTATGGTGCATCAGAAGATGTATTTATACTGGAGGAATCCGATGAGCTATAAAGCTCTTTTTCCAGATGTCCAGGAGTAGACTCTTGGGTTAGGCCATGTAATGATCTCACCAAATCTGTATCCTTAAGAACCCTTGACCACACGACAGAGCCAAACAAAAAAAATTGGCACATGGTGTACAAGCGGTTAACTCACTGCACCTCCGAATAGCACGTTTTGATAGTACGGTTCCAAAGAAGTTCAACTTACATATTTACAAGGTTTGTAAGCGATCATGTGGATGGCTTTAGGAGTAGCATTATGGTGAATATCTGAAACTCGCATGACAGTGAATGATCGAAATGGACATTGGCATTACTGTGGTCCATAGCTTGGTCCATAGACTCGTATGGAGATGCACAGACTCACGGCGGAAATTCACAGACTCACGCAGAGACCCATGCACTTACATAGAGCCCCGTTGACTCACACAGACCCGCAAAACACGCATGCAGTGGCGTCATGACTTCGTGGTCCACAGCTTGAAACTGCTGACGGCGGTCGCACACAACTGCCCGCGCCCGTATGTGCACCCGTACCTCGTGCGTGTATACGCGCACGGGCACACCAAACGCCCGCGCCAGGCCGAAGTCGGCGAGCTTGATGTGGCCGTGCCTATCGATGAGCAGGTTTTGCGGTTTGAGGTCGCGGTGCAGCACCCTGCGCGAGTGGCAGAACACCACGGCCTGCAGGATCTGGTGCAGGTAACTCTGCCCTCACAAAAAAACACGGAGAGGGCCACAGAGGTGCGAGCGTACGCACAATGTCATGATCGCCATCAGCCACCATCAATCCGCCGACTACCAAAGTCGCCGCCATCTCTCGCGATTCTGCGATGCAGCGATCCAACCTGGCACCAAAGTAAAAACTAAAACAATTTTTTTATTTTACCAAATAAAGCCCACCGAGGTATTTAGTTCTTTTTCAGAAGTGACCTGGTCACAAATGACAGCTCAACGAAGTGGCTTATCACGTGGAAATTTATAACAGCCAAATACTCAAGGAATCTTTCTAAATGGTGAAGGAAAAATGCACACGACCACGGGAAGAACATGCAAACTCCAAATATACAGGCGTTAGGGTCAGGATTGAAACCCACGACCTCCTGTATACCAGGCAAGGTAGTTAACATCTCGTCACCATGGCGCCCACTAAGCATTTGGCAGCAGCAGTGAGAGGATAATGCACCTGGATGATCAAATTTGTAAATGACAAGAAAAACCCCATCCCAACAGAAGGATAGTGCAGGCCGGAGATCCATACGTTTCAAACAACAACAAAATGTGAAAAAAAAACACTCGGCCTTTGTGTATTACACAAACAAAGCATCAGTATTTCTTGATGACGTGCATTGTGGTCTCCTTTTCTTAGATCAACTGCCAAAATACATTTGAGTAATGCATGACCAATTGACGGGCACCTGGATGAGTGGAGGTTCCATGCTGTGGCCCGCAGGTATCGCATCCAGGTATCGCTTCAGATCCATGGGCAGGTACTCGAAGATCAAGTAGAGTCGAGCGCTCTGCAGGAGTACATCCTGTAGCCTGGACGTGATGGAAAGAAGTGGTTTCCTGTCAATGTGTTGTCAATTGTAGATGTTGTAGGTTCTCTCCAAAACACCGGTGTGCCAAACCAGTAATGAATTGGCACATTTTTTAGTTCACGTGACAAACATTACTAATTGGCTGTGTCGGATTGTGGCGAGTTTAACAACACATTTATATTTACACGATCCAACCCCCCCAAAAAACCCTCTATTCGAGCGATTTCCTGCGCATACCAACATCGAGGCCTTTTCTCATCTCCTCCTGTTCACAGCCCTGAGCCAGAGGTGAAAGTGCAACGTTCCTATGGCGGGGGCAAATCGATCCAGAGGACAACCACTGTTGACTTCTCTGCAAAGTGGATGACGACGATAGGCCGAGTCAACCACTCAACCAGGATGTGAACTCGTGACCTTCCGCTTGCGAGCCGCTCGCCTGCCGCTGAGTGCACCCGGCCAAATTAAACGAAATCACATAACGCTATACTCGCACGTATCCTCTTAAAATCGTCTCAGCGGGCACAATACAGAGATATTTAATCACGGAAGGATCGTTACATTTAATAGAGGCCCGACAGGGCTCATGTCTCGTGGGAGGTGGGGAAATAAGACTTGAGGCGGGATCTAGGCAACCCTCCCTCCTTCACCAACCCACACTGAACAGTGTGGTGAAGTATGGTCAAGCAGCCCCTATGACCGACATAGCACGGGGAGGCCTCTGTCCAGCAGTGGATTGTACAGGATACAATATGTCCATCATTGCACAAATCGCACAGTTACACGATTATTCTAAAATATATTGCATCCATCATGATTGTAGTTCGTCACACGCCTAGTGTACAGCCAGGTACGCATGAACAGGGCAACAATGCGCGGCCTTCACCCTAACGTTCATGTGGGTGGGAACATGGGCATTAACGAATACAACATTTCAATTGTGTTTCGCTAGAGGGCACACATGTACACGGTACACTCCCTAATCCCCCATTTGTTTGGGCAAGTAGCCACTTGCCCGTCCAATACACGTCCACAATGCTTGGATGGGCCCCACGCACACAACATCCATTCTTCTGTGCTCACAAATGGCTGTTACATGTACAGGATGGTCCAGATGTCTTGTGATCCGCAATTCATTGACCCACCACATTTTTGTTCATCTGCATATTCATTTATGTTTTAAATGAACCTTACGTTTTTGTTGACAGGGTGTTCCGGAAGACATCGGGGCCACCCTGTGCAGTACTAGGCGAGTTTCCCCCTCCCCCCGGGTTGAAAGGGTAAAGCAAGGTCACATATCTGCGACGCAGTCTCCCACGTGACGCATTGTTCGTTATCCTGGGAATCCACGGTAAGACAAATCCAACATATGGACAACATTTTCCCGATCGTATGCTTATGTTGATGCAGAGCAAAAACTACAATTTCACATTCAGGTGGCCAGGAGCAAGAGCGGGGTGTATCATCGCTGCGACGTCTCCTTCATATTTGTGGATCGGGTATTGCGTTGCATGGTCTGTTCTGGATGACCACAGTCGCATACTTGGAGAGCTTTTAATTTTCCACGTGTGCATCAGGTATCCACAGCAGGACATCATCCACACGAGCGGTGGATGAACAATGTCCTGTTAACACGGCGGCGGTGTTGTGCCTACAATCCGTGCCGTTATCGCCGAGTCGCCAGCCGTGGGACCGCCCGAACGCACCGCACGATGTTGGGGTGCCTGAGTTCGCGCAGAAGCGCGATCTCCCGGATCGCCGTGGCGGGCACGCCCTCCTCCTCGTGCTCCAGGCGGATCTTCTTGAGCGCCACGAGATCACCCGTGCCCTTGTTCCGTCCCTTGTACACCACTCCGTACGAGCCTGCGTGCGAGCGTGAATGCGGGACAGCCGCCACGCGTTGCTTTAGCATCCAACTTTCGATTTCCTTTAAACCAGGGGAGAACGCAAAGAATACTGTAACAAAGATGAATCGTTTGCAAAAGTGACGTTGGGCATTGGTCTGCCAGTAGAGAGGTGGGGGGCGATGACTGCCGTGGTTAATGCCAAATGAGCCATTTGATGATGCTTTCGAATTTTCGAAGATTGTCAGGGGATCTTATAACGTCCACTATGAACTCTAAAGCAGATGCGTGTTGTTACACGCACCCTAGCGATAACCAAGGCGGGCGCGAGATTCGAACCGTGGACCTCTGCACCAAGTGGCGAGCACGCTACCCGCTTAGGCCGTGCCACCACCCCAAAAGAGTCGAACATTTGCAGCCCTGAAATTGCTCTCTGGCCCCACCGCAGGCGTGAACGAGGGCCCCCACTAGAGGGGAGCTCACGCCCTCTAGAGTCGAGAGCTCGTGGTTTCATTTCAGCCGGGGTCTCTCTGGGTCGGCGATCCGGGGAATATTTCCTCATCCAGTATTACCACCTCCCGCTGCGGCTACTGGCGACGTGCCTCAGCTCCACCAGCGAGCCGGACACTTTTCAGCGGGGAAATTAAGTCCTGGTTTTAACCAAGCAACTACTAAAGGATGGATGCTATAGGGTAAGCGAGGTGAAGTGCGGATGTAATCGGGATAGGCGGGGATACGTGTGCAGGGTGTGGAGGTGGGTCGGTTTGCGAGACAGGCAGAGAGAGGAGTACCCAGTAGTAAACATGACACATTGGACCAACGTGGGTTCAACGGTTGCAACTACGTACAAGGCAACATTGGACCAACGTTGCATGTATACTGGGTGTGGGTGGGTCACCCAGTACAGAAGTCGGCGAGTAGACCTCAAACCAGGCGGTGGCGCAGTGGTTAGCGTGCTGCCCTTGGAAGCCAGCCACCTGAGTTCAATTCCCGCTCACGGTCAACACCCGTGACGATTATCTGAACCGGTCCTGGGTTCAGATAAAGGTGGTCGGGCGTGATGCTAGCCACCCACCCTTTCGTGTTGCCGTGCTGGCCTTCATTTGGTGCTCGCTAACAGCACTTGCCCCAAAAGTATGTTAAGGCTATACGGGAGATATTTGTCTTTTGTCATTATAAGGGCAGACGTCGGAGGTTGGGCGTTTATTTTAGAATCATTACGGAAATTACCAGAACGAGAGCCATGGTGAGATGTGGTGACCAATTTCGGCATTGACCGTGACGTCCGCTTTTCATTGTAGAATATGTGAACGCCTTAAGCAAACAGAACGTTAGCATAGCTGCCACCTGAGTTCAATTCCCGGCCACGGGCACCATCAGTGGCGAGTGATGACGTATCTGGACCGCCTCTGGGCTCTAGAGCCACCCCTCGCCTCACCAGGGCGCTCCGGATTGTCAAAACAGCGGATTGACAAAGAGTTGTAAACCCATATCTTTATTTATGTAAATGCTTACTATAATATTTTTTTCCATATTTTAACAATGTGTATATATAAAACAAGGGTATGCATTACAGTAATACCCTGGTTTGTGTCAGGGATGCGTTCCTGAAAAGGTGCGACGACGAATATCGAAAACGACGTAAAATCACGGCGATTCACAGGGGGTAGGAGGCGGTGGAGGCGAAGGCTGCGAATCGACGGACGCCGCCGTCAGCGACTTGAGTGTTGCACTTTTCGCCCCGTGCGTAGCCAATCGTGCTCATCGGAGGTAGGTTGAGGCGACGCAGATGAGGTCGTAGTGTCAACAAAGCGGCGACGGATATTTGCAAAACGACGTAAAAAGGGGGGGGGGAGGCGAAAATCGGGACATTGCCGTGTCAGCTGTTTTGGCCCGGGGTCGCTACTGAAAAAAAGAGAGCTTTGCTGATCGATGGGCCTCGTCCGAGTCCAGTGGAGAATACCGTGCGAGAGTCAATGTGCACGCGTGGACCAAGCCCCGTCGCTCGGCTGCTTGCACGCGCAGCAAAAAGACAAAGATCCCCCGTATAGCCTTAACAGAGCGTTGGAACAAGTGCTGTTTAGCGAGTAGCACCTATGGTCACTTCGCACACCCATCGAGGTGACCTGCGCGCAGACACACACACACACCACGTCTCTCACCTTCGCCGATTTTCTCAATCTTAATGTACTCGTCCATGGCTTGTCGCATTCCTATTAGAACTGCACACGCGTCCAGACAAAATACACCACACAATTGCATGTTAAGATATTGCCACGAAAGCTAACAGGTTAATTAAACAACAATACATATTTGGTTTTAAATACTTTGAGAGAAAAGAAAGATGTTGACGTTTTGTCCGACTGGCCTTCTGCAGGTTTACAGAGTCAATAGTCTTCATAGGGTGGTGGACAACCGTCCACATGTGGCCATGTCGCAGTGGCCGTGTCATGTGCATATACAATTTGGAGTAACCGCATTATTTCCAGAAGGCCAGCTGTCCGAAACGTCGAGATGTCCCCTTTCCGCTCAGTGACGATGTACAATGCAACTGTTGTTATATTTAAATGAGCGGATATCGTATCTATGCGTCAATTGAAAGAGCAATGAGTTACTGTAGAGATCTGCGAGTTTGTTAACGTAATGCGTGTCACACCAAGGACACGTGTGTCGTCTGGGTTCATTGTGAGAGGGTTCATGTTCACACGCCCGCACGCCAGCGTAGTCTCTCTGTCCGCGTGGTTCAATCAAAAATCACGCACACACGAGTCGAAGTCATTCATTCCTCGCTCAAATGAATGAACTTCAAGGCGGTGCTCATCCCGTTACCTGCCCCGAGCCATTGGAGCAAATTCCACGTTCCTACGGCGGGGGCAAGTATACCCATAGTACAAGCTCCTGTTGACTTCCCCACAAAGTAATACTCATTGTGTTGACCCCGAGTGAACTCCCAACCAGGATTTGAACTCTTAATCTTCCGATTGCTTTGAGCCACCGCCCCACCTGGTCGATCATTAGATGATTTGAAATCAGAGAGAAGGAGCCCAAGCGAGAGAGCGAGCACATCGCCAATACACCGTCTCCAGCCCTTTTGATTGACGATCAGCCGGTACCGCCTCGGTCAGAAAAAACATCCCTCTTTGCAAGCACGCGAGAGGTGAAGGGCAACATTCGCGAACACCACATCAACTTACCATTAAGCAATGTCGAGGGGGTTGCATGGCAAGTCCGTAAGCTGTCGTTACATTTTCTAAAGCGGCAACCCTCTGCACGGACTGCGGTAACAGCCGACAGCGTCACGCGACTGCGAATCTAACGCCGTGTCCATGGCTACACTCGGAGCATAACGCAAACATTCTCGATGAACATCGTGAGGTTGTTTTCTCCTACTTCTTTAATCAAAGCCGACCCACCTTACGAGTGCGCTGCTCCGAGCGCGAACCAGCATCCACTTTCTTTAATCGAGCGTACCGTGTGCGCTAGTTTGGTTACGCACTCCTTTTTCATATCTGGATGTCCGTTTTTTGTTCTCCGTTGCTATGACAAGTCATGGAGGTGTGTTTATGGGCTGCGCGGCGGGTATTTAAACCGGGCGTGGGTGTGACACACGCGTGCGTGTGTTTGTTTGCGAGTGGCAGTGGGAGGGGGAGTCGATTGTTTGACCCCCATGGCTTGGGGTCTCTGGTGGGGCACAGGAGCGGGAAGAGGCGCGACTGGGCGCGGGAAAGGAGACCGCCTCTTGTGGCCACTCGCCGGAATAGCAAAGCGCGAAGGATAACGCGGCCATATTTTTTGACGCGAGACGTTAATGTATCGTGATGCCGTGGCCAAAGCCGTGATTATTCGTTGCGTTTATCCATCCAGGAAAGCCGTACCGAGTCTCATGACCCATTTTCGGTAGGGCCCCGTCAAGTTTTCGCAGTAGTGGGACGATGGTTGCTTTGTATATTTCGCCACGATGGCGAGATGTTAACTACCTCGCCTTGTATCCAGGAGGTTGTGGGATCGATCCCGACCCCGACGCCTGCTGTATATTTGGCGTTTGCATGTTCTCTCCGTGGTCGGGTGGATTTTTCTCCAGGTCCTCCGGGTTTTTCCTCTCCACATTTAACGTGCGTTAAGTATTTGGCTGCTATACATTTCCACACAAGCCACTTATTCGAGCTGTCATTCGTGACCAGGTCGCTTCTGAAAAGAGCCGTATAGCTCAGTCGGCCTTACCTGGTAAAAACAAAATTTTAAAAAGTTTGTTTAAAATTGAGAAAATTGCACGGTCATTTTTCAAACTTGGACCGTGACGCCAGCACGCACAGTGGCTTACTCTTGTGAAGGACGTCACGGCGTCTTCAACGTCCACTGTGAAGCAGACGTCGATGCCACCACACCTCCCTGCTTAATCGATTCATCAAGAACACGTGCAGTACCACTACACGAGCAGAACCTGGTTGTCAATCCACTGCAGGATGAGGGCCTCCAGCCCACATCGTGCGGGTTATTTGACCGTGCAACCTTCGCCACGCCGATCAGGTGCGGGTTGGTGAAAGTGGGCCGTGGATTAATTTGCTATAATTGGCATGCTCGCGATTTAAATATAATAGTCCACTTGAGAATCCATTATTTTAGATTCGTGCCAAACAAATATTCAATTTAGACACATGGTCAGAATGAGTGAGTGAACACTATAATATACTAGGTAAATTAACAAACCAGTCGAGGAATAGAACCAGCGAGAATGAGTTTCTATGAAACGGTAGAAACGAGGTGGTTCAAACTGGACTGCATATGCTTGCCACACACGGGAGCAGAGTATGTGCAGGTAAACGAGAGACCAGTACGAACAACAGTACGGGCGCTACAAATACTGTACATGGATAGCCGACAACAAGAAGAGACTTTAAACAATCGTGAATTGAATCGTGACAGTTGATTCAATCTGTATCAGCCTGCACGGTAAGACAACAATGAGTTGCCTATCAGCATCAGCATGTGTACATAGGCATCTCATTGTCGTCTTACCGTGCAGGCTGAAGCGATCACTAAATTTGTACAGCATATAGTTACCGAGAAATAATAATGGCAGTTGTTTACCCAGGAAAGACTCACCGAGTCCCATTAATTGGAATTGTTTGGCCAATATAATTCAACGAGTGGTTTAATGTGGGAGGAATTCGGAAAGCCGGAACAAACCCCACGGATATTGTTTGCATCCATAATTTACCCAGGGATCGCATACTGTGCCGTACACACATCGAGACGCATGTAACAGCATTGCCCCCTCGGCAAGAGCGACCTGAGAATGAGGGAGAGCCAATCAGGTGACATGTGTAGTGAGCCTGAGGACGATGGGAAGCAGGTACGAGGCACTCCTTTATTACTAAACTGATATTACAGGTCCAACACAAAAGGGGTAACGGCCCCTTACACCCGCTACCTGGAGAGGTATGGCCTCCGGGCTATCGTGTCCTACAACAGGGACCACCTACACTCCAGCCCTCTGGCTAAGGGACCTAGGGGAGGCTATCTCGACCCGACCCAACCAAGGTAACGGGTCCTGACCACTGGCCCTCACAGTCCGGCCCTTGGGACAGCGGGACTGGGGGGTCCCCAGGGTCCTACTCCAAGTCCCGTCTTCTACTTGAGGAGAACTGCCGAACCCGTTCAGGGGTCCGGCTTTCATACACCTCCCCAGGCGTCCCCGCCTCTCTTCCAGAGAGTTCCAGGGGCTCCCAGAACACCCCCCGCCCAGCCCCCCCTCTTGGGGTCTGAGAATACCCAGTGGCCCGCATATTACCTCCTACTGGTGGATGTCCGCTAGTGCAGGCAAGTATGCTGTGTCTATGGCATTAAACATGTACAGGCCACCAATATACTTTGTTACTAGGTACAACAACAATAGTTATACAGATTTGGCTTTGTGGATATCGGTCATTACATCCAGCTATTGAGCGGCGCCATAATATCCGTGTCAATGTATTATGGAAGCAAGCAAGTCTCCACAGGAGATTCATCGACCTAATAATGCCAGTGCACTACAACGGTGCGTTGTAGTGCACGGTTGGCTACGTTCGGTGCGAAAGCAGTTCAACGTGCAGTAACATACACATTCTTCCCTTCACCAACTCGAACTGAACAGCCTGCTGAAGCATGGTCACAAATAAACCCCACGACGCATACGGCCATCATCTAGCAGTGGATTGGCAAGGGCTTGTACCGCGTCATAATACCCAGGAATGCCGTACTGAGTTCAGGAGGGTCCTGTTGCATTCGGATGTTGGCCAACACGGGGTACATTGAACAGTTTGTTTGTTTTTAGCTGTGGGAAGAAAGACAGAGACGCCAGAGTCAGCATCACGTGAACCGATAATATACGAATATAAATAATGTATTCTTACACACGATATCTCAAGATTAAGGATCGACAGTCATCGATACGTCACGACACCCCCCCCCCCCCAAACTCGCGAGAAATGACGCTGAGCCACAGTCGGGAATGGGGTGCCAGGTTAGGTGCACGTGGTAAGGAAAACCAGTAGATGGTGCAAGAGCGCTGCCGTGGGTTCGTCTCGCCTTGCGGTTTGCCCAGCTCATTCGACACACGCATCTTGTTCACTGGCGGAGCCAGGGGCAGGGGGGTGGCACGTGCCCCTCCAATGATCCGATCGAAATCCCTAAATATGATATTTGTTTTTTTACCCTTCTATCTGGCAACAAAACTGACACCTTTTTTACAAGAAGTCATGTTTGCATAGACCACAATACCGGCAGCCACAATGCAAACAAAAACATAACTCTGATAATATATGCACTGTCCTTGAAGTTGGTTGGTCCACACCCGAGACAGCTTTCCTTAGAGCCTAGTCTCACATGGGTTGGACCAGATGACGCCAAAAGGCGCACAACTCAAAGACAATGCACCATCAGAGTATGAGAGCTCTCATACCGACGAGTACCTGGTGCAGTGTTTTAAAACATTGCCACTAGGGGAGATAAAGGCGGCCGGGCGTGGTGTTGTCCACCCCCCCCCCCCCTCGTGTGCCGTGCCGGCCTTCATAAGTGCTAGCTTACAGCACTTGCTCCTAACAGCACTTGCTCCTAAAAGTCTGTTCAGGCTATACGGGGGGAATCTTCGTCTTTGTGAGACCGTGCAGATTTGTAGAACAATTGACACCGGGCACCAGTTTTGTGGTGCGTCTGCGTTTTGTCATCCGGACAATTTAAGGTGAGCGTCACGGAGCAAGGGGGGGGGACAATTGGGGGGATTGTTGGTGTGCTTGTGGTGGGAAGGAAAGGTGCAGAACAATGCAACTCGGGTGGTGATCTTCACGTGTGGCCACGGCGTGGAGGAACGGTACGGTCACGGAACGTCCCGATGGGTTCACAATGACCTTTTCCCGGTGTCCCCCGTGAAGCTTTTGCGAGAGTCCGGATTTAAAAGTTCTGGCTTTCATGATTGATTCGTGGTTGCGGCGGGGGGAATGGGCGGGGCTACTTGTGCAGTGGGCGGGGCTGGTGGCACAGTGAGTGGGGCTATTGGCATGGTGGGCGTAGCTGGTGGCCTAGTGGGCGGGGCTGCCAGCTCAGCGTGTGTCCCAGATTGAGCCTCAGAAATGTGGATGAGAAAGTAAATGAGATGAGACATCTCCTTCACATCTATCCGTCTCTCCGCATGAATATAACATTATTTCTTATACAACCCATCAGCGGCATGGCCTTCTGTGAGTGCAACATTCGAGCAGCATTGTCTCAAGACGTGAAAACTGAACCGAATTCGACACACACAATGTATCATCATCAGAGCCATGCTTACTTCAACCAAATGCTGGCGAACTGCCGATCTTACCGGCAAGGGCCTTCTGTTTACGATATCGGGGCCTAAGTCAAAAAATAATGTTATGCAAATGCTCATATTGAGCCCATCCATCGTCAGTTCGTATTCAGAATCAGAATTTTTATACTGGAGGAATCCGATGAGCTATAAAGCTCTTTTTCACAGATGCCCAGTAGGGGCGAGTCAGAACGTTAGCGTTATTCACATTATTCACGCGTCAATTTTATTCTCCAGTGATATGACCCAGCGCACCTAAAATGCACGCTGCGAAATACAGCTGAATAATAACTGCACGACGACTGAGGACCATGCTCTGTTGAACAGGGATTATGAGAAGCAGGGTTGGTGAGGGCGATGGGGGCATGTGGCCAACATTTCTGTGTGTGGCGCAGGATGGTTCGCGAATAATCTCGCCGTGTCTCGGGGTAAGGATTCTCGCGGGGTGGATGGAGGGTGGGGGTGGGGCGGGGGCTGAGACGTGAACCATTGGTCTGACCAATCCCACGTGCATCCCCTCGAGGTGCATATCCATTGTAGTTAATTGGTATGCGGAGTTATGATCTCCCTGTCACACATTCTTAATATCCAAACCTCTCTCGCCCTTCAGCCGCTTTTCTCGGTATGTATTTGTTTATTGAGCGATTGGGGAGGGAAGTTCTAGGGGTGGACAAGCTACGTCCTGCGGTTCAGAGACGGCCTGCGACTTAATTTTAAAAAGGCCCGCAGTCACATCAAGCCAATTCATAACGGCCCGCAAACGATACGCATCCCATCACTACAACCATCGTAGCCGCACTAATCAAGCACTCGAGGGGGGAGCAACACTGAGATTTCTAATTTTAGCGTGCTCGGCCACAGTCACTGTTGTCACTTTAAAGGGCCACTTCCAGTGACTCTTGAGTGCTCCTGCGTTGATGGGCTATTTGAAAGTGCGATTCGCCCCTCGATATGAAAGAGATCCCCGCCTTCTTCCCCCCGTGCTCCAGGGACCTTGAGGTTCAGAGTGAGCAGCTCCTTCTTTTGCTTCCCCCACTCGCACCCCACAGTGGAGATTCAGCTTCAGGCGAGTGGGGACAATGTTACAGTTGTTCATGCATGATAAGGGGGGGGGGGGCGGCTCATACAGTTTCGTCTCGAGTCGCCAAGGGCCCGTGGAGGCCATTGAGAGCAACACGTGGATCTGAGCCATTTTTGTTTTTGGGTTCAGTGGTTTCTTGCCAAGATTATTGTTATTCAACCTCCCCCCTACCAATGTATTGATCACATTTTGACCAATATGACGTTTCGCCAAAACTGCTTTGAGCTTCATCAGGCGTGTAGCCGGAGTTGGTACCAAAGCTTAGTTCAGTGTCTCACGGAACAAACACACTTACAGTGAGGGAAAAAGAATATTTGATCCCCTGCTGACGTTTCGCTGGTAATTGCATCCAGCATCATCGGGCAATTCGCCAGAATGGTGAGGCTCTGCTGTGTCTCCCGTTCTTATATAGACACAGCAGAGCCTCACCATTCTGGCGAATTGCCCGATGATGCTGGATGCAATTACCAGCGAAACGTCGTACTCAAATTGTAAATTGTTGTGGTTTCACGCTTCAACACACCGGTGGGCTAAAGCAGTGAACTAATTGTCTTTTGTCAACGTGACACTTTTTTACTGATTGGCCGTGTCGGGTGGTGGAGGGTTACGACACATTTATAAATAACGCGATCTAAACCCAAAAATGTTGATTATGAATAATATTGGTCGCGAAAGCCTACGTGTTAAACTGAGGGGATCAAATACTTTTTCCCTCACTGTAACACTAGTTTTATTTGACCAGGTAAGGCCCACTGAGATATACGACTCTTTTTCAGAAGCAACCTGGCCACAATTGAAAGCCCTATTAAGTGGCTTATCATGTGGAAATGTAATGCCGACAAATATTGGAAACATATGTTTCTAAATGTGGAAGGGAAAACCCGGAGAGAAAAAAAAACCTCCAAATACACAGGCGTCAGGGGTCGGGTTCGAACCCACGACCTTCTACACACCAGACAAGGTATATAACATCCAGCCAGAGTGGCGTCCCAATACATATATTCCTTGATGCTGGTAGACTGCAGTCAACACTTGAAGAGGAGCCATAGCCGTCGTGAGGGGTAGA